ATATGTCAAGATTGGGCCAAATATATATGTCAAAATTGTTAAATTTTTATTTCTTCTATTAAACTAGTTACTCTAATAGAAGAAATAAAAATGTAACAATTGCACGAATACTTATTGCTTCTATATTTCTATCGATTTATTGTGTTTTCTTGTTAATTTCGCAACATATATAAATGACTAATTCTTTGTTGTACCTATTCCAGAGATTTCCAAGAATAATTTCATTAATAATAAAAAAGAAGTTAATAAATTACAATTTCACATAGATTTTTGGAAATTGATCGGTGTACGAATACTTTCTGCACCCACATAGTCTCTTTACGAAAGTAACCAAAAATTAGTGCACCACGGAACGCGTTAAACGTCGAAATAAAGTTTACTCGACTTTTCCAGGAAATACAATAAATCATCCAAATTTTCTCATTTAATTGCGACCGGAATCGCACGCAGTCGATTTACCTATCGCGGTAACTGTACAGACGAGTAAGCGTCATAGAAGATGTCCGTTCGCGTTCTATAATATTATCCGAATAAAATTCTGCCCATCTCCGGGTTCTATTATTCCGCGAGCCCGACAGAAGCGTGACGAAGCTGAACGAAGCGACGCGTGGCGTCCCAGGCCGTGGTTTGATTTGTCAACGACAGGAAATTGCGGACCGTTCGAGACGTTCTCGGCAGCGTTTCGTCTCGTTTTTCTTTCCTCCTTTACTTTGCCCCCAGTGGATCCACCGAATGGGGAAATAAGCTCGCGGTACTATATAACGGTTCCAGGGATCCCCGGTGGACGTCCAACGGCATACGCGAGCGACGCTTTCGTCCAGCTGCGTCGTTTCACGCTGTTTCGCGTAATTCACTCGCTCTACGCGCAATTTAGGAACTGAGGGAGCTTCGTCTTAAATTATACACGCATGCTGCTCTTTATTGCACCGAATCTAAACGCAACCCGTCTCCGCTGCTCGAGGTCGTTCCGCGCCTCGCAGCTCTACGCTCTAACTACACTTATTAACGTACAACCGAGGAATCCTCGTCGTCGACGTCGCGGCGCTCGAGCGCTCCCCGCGAGCCAGGAATTACGATCGACGATCGAGTTATTAGATCCGCGAAAAAGTTCTGACCTGTGGATTTTATATGATGAAAACGAAACTATTGTTTTATTTTACTTTATTTTATCGTCCTTTTACGGTTGCCAAGCGTCGACATTTAATTGTTTAAAATGTTACGCGATTCGGCATTTGAAGTATCGTTTTCGATAGGTATAACGAAAAAATGCATTCGTTACAGTATCACCTCGATGAACTTCCGTCATCGAAGAATTCGCAAACTGTCCATAAGGTAACGAAAGGTCATCGATGCAAATGGCGAATATTTTGTAGATTGTTTGTTTTTAAATAAAGATTAAATTTGTTTGGTACGTCACAGTTCAGAACGTTTTTGCGCACCTGTTACAATTGGTTTTCGTTCGCTTATCGTGATTCTTTCTTCTCGAGCCTTACGCGTGTACACAATCTGGCCATAGGTTCTGTTAACAGGGTAATATCGTACATAGCACAAGAACGAAAACACTGACTGTATGTGTATAAAGTTTCTATATGACATTATTATTCCGCTCTACCTGGCGTTGCTGTCCTATATACTTCTACAGTTATTGACAGAACCTACGGTGGGACTATGTACTGAAGGGTAGAATGAAACTGTAAATTTTTGATAATGAAACAGGAATAGTTGAGGGAAAATGAAAATTTCTTATTAAAATTAAGATTGTTCGTGTTCATAACAAACGTAGCTTTTGAATTTTTGAATAACATGTGTGCTTCTAACTCGTTTATAAAACATTCTTCTCGCGGGTTGTACCCAATGTTAAGGCTCGTAGAGGGTTGAAATATTCCGTTTTACGTGAAAAAAATATTTGTGGCTCCATAAGATACAGTGTTACCTTCGGATAAGTTTTACAAATATTATACGTTAGGTCACTGTATGATTGAAAACCTTAACAAATAAAGATACTTATCTAGAAAAAAATTGTTTTTTTTTCTTATTGAATTTTAAAATAAAGAGAAGGAACACGAAAAACCTACATTTGAAACATTTTTAAATGACACAGTTGGGTGAAATGTTTAAATTCGATGCTACAGGGCTACCTTAAAACTTAAATGGGTCCTGTTTATGAATTCTATTCCAGTTTCATCGCATAAAAAGTTGATATTTTATGTACAGATTCACTCCACCTTACTCTGGACTCGGTAGTTACAGTTTAACTTAATGTTTCTCAAACTGGAGTACCCATGTTCCGAGGAGACAAAGAATACGACGTCGTACAAAACACAACACTTCTTTGAACATTGTAATTTAATCACCCCTCCGTTTGGAATTTGGATCATCGAAAACCTGAACGAAATTTGACTTTTCTCTGACCTCCAAATTTATTTGTAAGCACTAATGTTGTAGAGACCTTCAAAATTAACTTCAAATGTTTCTAGACTCTTTGAAAGTCTGCTGCAGTAAAAATTAAACGTATTCCTGGAAAGTTTTCTGTTTTCGGTACCAAAGACATTAAAGAAAAAGCTGGAAACTGAAAGTCTTGAAAATACTTTATACATATATTTTCCTTATTCGTTATTCGTTACTTTTCATTCCGCTTTCGATAGGGTGAATACGAAATGACACAATCGATTAAACTTTTCGTTGTTCAATGAAACAGACGAATATGAATGAAAAACCAAATTGGATTAAATTTTTCGTCTTGCAATGAAACACCTGAAAGTCTATATTCTTTCCTTTCTCTAGTTCTTCCTCCTATATTGACAATTTGCATACAAAGTGATTAATTTCTTTCTTCCTAATTTCACTAGTGAATATTTAAACAAATGATCTATCAATAAATATCAAATTAACCCACTCTATTCACATTTTTCATACAAAATGAATTCCTTTCTTTTCTTTCCTCTCAATCTTAATCTTTTGCTCGCAACAGTTCATTTAGGCCCCCGTGGCTCGGTTTTCGAAACGTCTGTGGCCAATTTGAGGAATCCATTTGGCAACCGTTGAATTCCGTTGGGAAAGGACGTCCACTGGAAAGGAATCCTCTCGGCGCAGCTACTTTCCGCGGGTTTCGTGAAAGAAGGCAAAATCAGGAAGTGGAGGGATCGCGCGAGACCGCGTTCTCATGAGACGACCATTGTTGCACCGACACGCTGGAGGATTTGGGTCAGCGGTGGGGCTCCTCGGACCTCCCAGTTTCCCGTAGTCGCGAACCGCAACCGTCATTTTCTGCGGTTTCGTGGCGTCTCTTTGAAAGCTAGCTGACACGCTCGCGGGACGCAAGATGGCAAAGGTGACGCGACATGGCCGACGGGAACACTGCACAAACCGCTCAGAACAAGACAACTATCTCAGCCGATGCTTTAGATGGTTTACATTCTACAAACGAATTTTACGAATTTCAATTCAAAGTAGAATCATCGTTTCAGGAACTTTTCTTTGGGTACCATAGCGTTTTAACTCTATATTGCACAAACTTAGACTTTCCTTTCAAACAGGAAATATTTCTTTGTTATATATATGAGCACGAGGTAAGCAAAACGTGGTTCCAAGCTTGATGGTTTATCACCATTCTAAATTGCATTCTCGATTGCAGTCTCTAACATCTTCTCAGCTGATGCTTTCGATGATTTACATCCTCTAAACAAATCTAGTGAAGGTCGCTCTAAAGTGGAATTATAGTTTCAAGAACTCTTCTTTAGATACCAGAGCGTTTTAAGGCTGTATTGTACAAACTTTGACCTTTCTTTCAATTAGAAACTACATTTTTGTTACGTACATGAGCACGAGGTAAATAATATTCAGATAAAGCAACGAGTAATTGAATCTATGAAGAATAACAAAATCTCTATGAAATACAGGGTTAAATCATCTCATTGTTATTTTCATTCGAAAAATTGAGTGACAAATATAACACAGAGTACGGAAAAATTGAAGAAACCGCGCAGAACAAGAAAAGTCCAAACCGATTTTGACCTTAATCCACTTCTGGTTTGGGTTTTACAAGATATTGCGTATTTCGAAATCTTAATTTATCACGCGACAACCACAACAAAATGTGATTCCTAGCGTGGTGGTCTGTGGTCTTCTGTCACCGTTGGAAGCAATTGCATTCCTCAGCTGACGATTCAGATGCAGTTATCTCGTTAGTTATAACCACGTTTTGCTTCCAATCTCGAGAAACATGGCCTCGTAACAAATTTTTGGAAAAATTCCTTGCCAGTCCAAAGTAAAATTATGGTTTCAGTATGTAAGTATGGTCAATATTTTTTGGCGTAACCGATTAATAGAACGGAACGGACCTATAAACTGTGAGCAGTCTCTGTATAAACTTTACCTTTACAGATTATTCGTACAATGAGTCAGCATTGTATTTGTTAACGCAGAAAGTCCTTGTGGATAAAGTAATCGGTATTGTTTATGCTCTAGAGGCGACAGCTTTCTAATACGTAATCAAATTTGTCGAAATGTTGAAATTCATTCATTTTACAACGTAATAAATTTTTACGTTAGATATGATTGAGTCAATCCATTCACGTGACGAGCCATTCGAGTGTTACGTCAAGTATTTAAAGAGGCCACAAAGTTAACGATGTCGTGTGTGATAATTTGTGCAATTATTGTTGGTACGACTCTTTGTACGATAATAGCGAGGCATGTATGGTTTTCGTACGACTAGATTCAGCCCTTCGGATACATTTCCTTGGATATCAGAGCGTTTTGACCCTATATTACACAACTTTTTCCATGCATTTTAAACAGAAACTTTCTCTTTGTTATATATACGAGCATGAGGTTTGCAATATTCAAATCAAACTAAACGTACAAACAATAATAAAACATATTACCATGACTGCTTCCTTTGAGTTCTCATTTATGCAATACAGAGTTAACTCAATGTCTTCGTTCGAATAACTTGAGTAGAAATTTGATCCATTTCAGTGGCATTAAGTAAATTTTAACACGAACTCACATTAACATGATTTTTATTATAAAGAAAACATAGCACGATCGACTAATCCGTTTGCCACTCATTGCTAGGAAACAGGAATCTATAAGTTCGAAATACCTCCCATACGAGCATTTCGCGTCCCATAAGCAAAACAATTCTCAGAATCTCGCGTTCGTCTTTGAGGAGAAAGTGTTACTACGCGACTTACACAAAAAAAAAAAAAACAGAAAAGTTCAAGAAATTACTACTGAAACGCATGCAAATGTGTACCATGTTGCCAAACCACCAATTTAAGGTTTACGCAGGTACCGACGCACCGCGAAAACCGATAATTAAAGTTTGTAAAGTTTTTCATATTGATTTCTAGCTGAGTATGCAGTTCCTCGTGGCTCGTTAAAGCTATTCGTTTGATATCTGTTTGGTTTCATTGAGATAGGTAAACTTGGAACACCTTGGATGGTAGAAACTCTATGTTCGCTACAAAATCTTTTAATTGAAATCAATTTAGTCAAATTTATTTAAATTTATATGTTTCTCCTAATACATCTTTTAATTTAAACAAATTTATTCAAATTACCCAATACATTCTTTTATAATGTTATTAATTTGAATAAATTATTTCATGTATTTGTGTATTTTGTAAATTATTATATGTATTTTACTCAAATTTATTCAGACTCGTATATTCTTTCAATAGACCTTATAATTTAAATAAATTTTATTCAAAGTAATAAGGTACCTCGTCCATTAGGTGTTACAATATCGCCCTGCATTATGATCGAAAATTGGGACCAGGAGTTATCAGCGTGGGAGTGACATCGTGAGAACTCTGTGGTCGCAACTGGTCGAACTCAAATGCCACGGAAATCTCGATCATGGTCCCATTTTTGCGTGGGTTGGCACTAAGCGTATCAACACTTTAACTACTGGCCTATTTAGGAACAGTTTACACCTCAGAGGGGAACTCTCTACATTAATTTATATTAATCTAGGTTGACGTTGGCTTCTGTGTACTGTTAAAAATTGAGCATTGTAAATAGACTACTAACAACACAGTTAATCAATCCCAGGAAGTAAACACTGGAATTGAAAGGCTTATAAATAGATTTCCGATAGGTAAAGTGTTAAGAGGGTCGATGCAGAAGAGAAATCGATCCCTTCGCGGACTTTTTAATGGGTCTTTAAAAGCAGCAACTAAAAAACCAGTGGCAAGCGTAACTTCTACTTTTGGAAACGGAGCAACAAAATCACTTTTAGTGACGAGCAATACTACTTCGACAAAAGGAATCGATTTACTAGCAATCATTATTGCGAAAGTTCGGAATTTTGTTGTAATGGTGATTTCGACCTGTTTCATTGCCAAAACGAAAAGTAATTATTGTACATTATTAACGTTATCTGAATCACGTTTCTGCAAAGTTACGAATTTTTTGGGATTCTTGGGTCGTCGAACTTCCCTTGTTAGTCCCGAAGTACTTTTGCGAGTGTCTGAATTTCAGGTTTTAGGCATTCATGGGAATATGAAGAGCATATGCAAAATGAACAACATATTAACTCATGTAAAATTGAATGGTAAAATCGTTATATTAGTTTATGAAATTTGTATCTTTGTACAAAATGTATAAAGCAAATGTATGAGCAAAGTCGAATCGAACGGCGTAACCCCTATGCTTCCCTCCCCTTCAAATCGTAGGTGCTTCGCCAACTCCTGAGCAACGAAGTGTACCAGAGTCGGTTGCCCCATCCGGAAAGGCGGGACTGTTGATTCCGCGTCACCATAACTGTGGTGATCGTTTCGAGATCGTCAATAGGATTTCGTTGCTTCTAAACCGCCCGGAGGACCGACTTGACGAAGTTTATACAACACATCCCCCCCCTTCCTTCATTTTTTCCGTTCTCCGCCACCGCGATGGTCGTTTCGCCGTCGTTCGATCCGCGAGATCCAGCTTCCAACGCGAAGTGGGTCAGACGCGGTTGGCCAACTGTCGTGGGGGATCGAGCCGATCCAACGTCATCGACGATTGACATTTACCGCGGCGAATGGGGATCGGTAGGGATCGTGCCTAACCGCGGGGATCCCTGGGTGGAGGGGTGGCGAAAATATCCTCCGTCCGAGAGGATAATTGTTCGCCGGCGTTTCGAGAGATCGACCGCTATCTTGACATTTAACGAAGGAGATTGTCGCGGCTGGAGTGTGTAATCGGTTGCGATCATTGAAATTCTAGCGGTAATAGACCGTGGTTGACTCGCTCGGCTCTCCTGGCTCCAGAGATGGGGAAAATTCTCATCTAAATAGATAACTTCGAGCAGTGGGAGGTAAACAGTTCCTCCGTTCCTCGTCCACACGTTCACCGCGATAACTTTCTTATTAGGTCAAATAGTTGTAAGCATCTGTTTCTATTTTGTATTTCGCGAGATACGTATGACGTATTTGCGACACGGGTGTTGCTCACGTTCTTTTTCGGCAGTTAGGAAAAAGGGGGGACGCTAATTTTATTTTAAGCCGTTCTTTTGATTCCTATCGAAACATTTGTACTGGCCTCTAAAAATAAAGAGCTTAAATACTCTTCGTACATGGACTTTTCATTTGGATAAACGAGACCTTTAACGTTCCTTATCGTAGACACTCGAGAAAAAATAAAAGTTTCGTGCCGGGGCATGTATGTTCCCGTTCCGCGGTGAACGTGTCGAATTCGATTTACGAAAACGAAATACTTCGGAGGGAACAAATAAATCTGTAACTCCCCAATGGAACAAACGTGACGAATAAATAGTCCTACGAAACTTTGCCCATCTCTGCATCGGGACAGACGCAAAGATTCTCGGTTCTTGGACAGAAAATTCCTCGTCTGGATTCTTACTCTTCGGGTGCAACGTAGTCTTCGACCAGTCTCGTAGGTCAGGGAACGAGATCCTTCTCGTCAGGTCTGAATCCTCGAGATCCTTCTCGGATCCATGGTGGCTGGTGGGGGCTCCTCGAAGCCGTTGAAGGTGCCCCCTGTCGATCCTTGGGAGACTTAGCTAGTTTCGTCCGCTTTCATCGCGTGTTTCATCGCGCGGCTAAATTACTATTATCGTTATTAGTTCCCTGGCAGGACACGTGTCACGACGTCGCGATTAATCTTTCACTTCGACGGACGACCCGCATGGATACCGCCTGGCCGACCTGGCAGACGCGGCTCCCTCGTTAAACGAATAGAAACAATATTAACATCGAACGCGAATTCCATCGTGACAGGTGCTACACGTATTCACACTTTGGAGCTGGGGCGCTGGCGCGTCCACGGCGCTACGAAGAAGTGGTTCCTCCTGAACACAGCTCGAAGGACGTCTTCGTTAAACCGCCGGCCACACCCTGAAAAAGACGACAGACGAGACCGATTAAAACCCAACCCTCGAACCAACGATATAAGGAGAGGTAAATATACTACGAGTGGGGAGGTGAAGTCGTTTCTGACCGACTTCTTATTGTTAGCTTCGTATTAGCTTGTTCGAAAAGTTTCTTTCGTTTCACTAATAACAAGGGGAACTTATGATGTCATGGATCTTTATAAGAATTCTTGGGATTATTCTACAATATTAGTAAACATTTTGTGCAAAACGATTCGTACCAGAGAATCTTCGTTTTCGAGCAAAACAATTAAAATAATTTCCTCCGTAGGTTCCTTTGTATTCGTGCTAATAGGGACTCAATTTCGAAAATAGTTGAACGAGTATGTTTATGTTTTGAACAAGAAAATTACATAAAAATTACGATCTTTAAAGATCGTGCATGTTGTAAAAAATGTTAATTATTGTATAATTGAATAGTTTAGAAGTACTTCTATTTATATATTTCGTATACATAATTTTCTTGATAAAATAATCTATCGTCTACTTTTTTTTCGAAATCTGGTAAAAAATTCAGAAACGTTGGTTGCAAATAAAATCATTGCAAAAAACTGACCCGCAGCAAAATGCAAGGGGTTTCATCGATTTCAGGCAGATAAATAGTACCTTTTTTGCGATAAAAGTGGTAAAAGAATAAACCAAGGTCAAATGTTCTTTCATGGGACCAAGTGGCAGCGGTGCCCTATCAGATCCAAGAAGTGTTAATCCGATTGGTTTATCCATCTCAGAGTAAGCGGCAGTACACAATTTTTCGGTTTTTTTGAAAGAAAAAAAAAACAGGTAAAAAATGAGAAATCGCAAAATGTCTTGATAAACCTGGACCACCTGGGAGACATGCCCTACAAGATGCAGAAGGTTTCATCCCCATTGGTAATCGGTAAACAAACATAAAAAGAAATACATGCCGAATTGAGTAACCTCATTCTTTTCGAAGTCCGTTAAAAATCTCAAACAGTCCCGAGTCTTCCCTTAAAGAACTAGATACGAAGAAGAGAAACGTTGAGAATTGGTACTTACGTGAGTAGTCCAGGATTAGGATCCGCTTGGTACCAGGAGTACTGTGGCATGTAACCCGCGTGATGCGGCGGTGGCGGCGGGGGCGGTGGATGGTGACCCGGCGTGTGGGGGTGGTGGTGGGTGTGTGGTGGCGCGTGGGGGTGCGGATGGTGCTTCATCTCGCCCGGCCAGGAGGGCGCGGGTGGGCTCTCATTATGCTGAGGCGACATCTCGCTTCCGGGACTCGAACTGCCGGGGGTGTGACCCCCTGCGCCGCCTCCCATTCCCCCCAGGTAGCCTGTCGTCGGACTGCCCGACACGGAACTTCCGCCTCCTGAAACACAACAGAGAACGTTCGAGATCGATCTTCGAGATACTACCGTTATCTTTCGACTGCCACCACTGGATAGTATTATATTTTAGTCTGTACATTTACTATATAATTCATCTCTACAACCCTCTAGCCTATATTTTTTAGCTTCGAAGATTCATACTATTACTAGGTACCAATTCAAAATTGGACTTATCAACGGGAACCCAAATGGCATGTTGCTTTTTGACAATGTATGGGGTTGTCCAGAAAACATCGTGACAATTTTTAAGAAAAAATTGAAAGACACGTTTGAATTTTCATATATATTCATTGAATTATATAGGTATTATTTCGCTCCACAACCTTTCTACTTTTTAAGGGATGTACACATGTTATTTGTTTTCAACCATTCACGAACTTTCCAGACCACGCAATATAATACAAAATTCGATTTTGTTTAGGAGAAAGTTTGTAACACTTCGTTCACTCTAAAAACCTCTCGAAAAGCGGCTCTAGAATTCTGTTTTATTATTTTGATGGATATAAAGTTGATATAAATACGATTAGCTCGCCGTATGACTTATATTTCACTATCAAAGTATCGCTAAAATTTAGAATCTAGAACTCTGGTAATTTAAAAGCAATAATATAGAACGATATGTACATGGATATGAAAATATAATTGTGTATACTATCATAAAACGACATTACATATTGATATATGTACATACATGTAGATATTATACATATTCCAGTTTATTTGTTTTCCATTACATTCTAAAACTTCTTTTACTTCTTCAAAGCCTCCAGAAAAGAATGTAGGATTTTATTCCTAACTCAAACTCAAATTCGAAATTCGTTTACGAAATATGTTGATATAATATGTCTCGTTGAAAAATTTGCGAACAAGAATCGCGTTACATAAAATAGTCTAACATTGGAAACGTGTCTTTTTTGGTATCGTTAGACTCGATTATAAATTCTTATAGCTTTCTCGAAGCGTTGACTAACAAAATTCGTTAGACTTACGATGTCCCCTCATAGGTGACATCCGAGTGCAAAGAGTTAGACTTAAGGATCATCCGACTCAAATTGTAGAATAGGTTTAAAGCGATTACAAAGAAACGTACCTCCTTGCATGAGACTTCCGGGTTGGCCCGGTTGAGGGGATGGTCCTCCTGGCAGAGCGGTTCCACCAGCTAGAAGGCTGCCGTGCTGTCCGCCGCCGCCTCCGCCGCCTTGCTGCGCGGCCTTCATCATCTTCTTGTACTTACTCCTTCTGTTCTGGAACCAGATTTTCACCTGCAACAAAAATTGAGAGAACGCCCGGTCAGGTGAAACTCGTTTCGCGAGTTGTCAGTAGCTATTGCTCAGGAACGAACAGGTGGGACGCGAAAGGGGTGAGGGGTAGGGTGAAAGAGGGGGGAGAGTGTCCGTCGGACGGGTTGATGTACTATTTGACGTAGTTCGAGAGACGTGGGAAGCCAGCAATTTTCACTGTCTCTGCTCCCGTCCTTCCGTCCGTCAAACATCCGATAATTACAGACCCCGATATAAAGTTTCTGCGGAATACACACGCACCGCGTAACGATACACGCCTGTTCGGTTGGCAGGTATCAGGTCATTTCATAAGTCCGCGCGTATTTCAGTCTGGAAACTTTCGGACGTTGTAAACATGCTACACTGTTTAAAGAGTTCCAGGACAGGCTCGTTCGGGGACAGTAAAATGTCGTGGTATTTGCATTTATTGTGTGGTAAAGAGAGTAAATAGTCGCGTAGGGGCGATGAGTTTTTTTTTTCAAAAAGCATTTTTAAGAAAAAGGACGCCATTGAAAAAGAATATTTTGGTCTTTCACATTTTTTTATTTTTTATTTTCTTAACTAAATACAATTTTGACAAACGGCCATCACGAGAACATTTTTTTCACAAATTTTGTCTTAACTATGTATTAAATTTGTAACCTTCAACAATTGACTTTCTCTTCAGCTAACTCTCTGGTAGTCTGAAGTAGTATGAAGCTGTATACTATACATATACCGATCACCTCTGAAAACGTCTAAAATGGCATTTTGCCCTAAGATCCTTACATGCTTTCAACAAATTATATGTATTAACTCCGGTAATTCCTAAACGTCCAAAAATTAACTTTCCATCATTTTAACGGTTTACTTGAAGATCAATGTGGAGCTGTATATAGCGATCAATTCTGATAACACCTAAAATGGCACTTTGTGCTCTGTCATCCTTACATACTTCGAATAAAATGCATTAACTCTGCCATCTTCGAAATCTCTAAAAATTAACTTTCTCTCTATCATTTAATCGATATCCTTCGGAAACAGTATAGCGATCAGCTCTGACAACGCCCAAAATGATCAGCTCTGACAACACCATCAGCCCTGTCATCCTTCCAGTACGACGGTCGATCATACGTCTGGCCAACGGAACCCGACGTAACGCGTATCATCGTCGCGCTACCGAGTCGAGCAAAGGAAAAAAACCAGGAGAAGAAGAAGAAGAAGGAACTGCTCGTTTCGTAACTGTCGTTTCTTTTGCCTGTCTCTGCCTACACGCTGCATACAACGACGGGTACGGCCTGCAGCGGATACTAATGCGCGTGTGCCGCTGTTAGGATTGCACATGCGGTATTTTTTTGTGTCTTCGCGATCTATACGTATGCCGCGTGCACGTGACGTGCTGCTCAATCTTACATAACCTTGCCTCATAGAGTCCAACGCTGTGGAGCAACAGAGAATCCGACGGGAGGAACGTTCGTGTTTTGCCAGGACTAAATAAACGCCGCTCCAACCCCGATCCTCGAGAATTGCGCGAAGAGGAAGAAACGCCGTTCGTTCGGTAGGCTTTTTAAGGAAAATCGGCGTAAGTCCGGTCTCTTTTTATCCGGCATTGTCAGCTGGGAAATAGAATTTCCTGAGAGAAGGAAATATCTTGGTTGTAGCAATGTATACTTCAATATTACTCGTTTTTTGTTTAGTGGTGCAGTCTTTTCTAATGAGGAAGGCGTAAATCTCACGAGGGCCAGTTTTGAATATTTTAAAAAATGTTCAAAATTTAAGTAGAATTAAAAAAAATTTATGTTGCATCCGTCACCAATAGTTGCAGATATCCGTTTCCATAAAACTTTCTTCTGTTTTGTACCAGTGTACCAACACCATCTCATAACAAATTAAGATAAAAGTACTGAGTATGTATTATTTCACACCAAGGAGTGTTGATTGTCGTATCTTTAAAAATTTTAATACATTTTATAAACAATTTTAAGGGTCACATGAAACTCTTGCTGGTTCAAAGGCTAAAATATTCGACTTCTCTACAGTCCTGCAATTATGTGAAAAGAATATTTCTAACTAATAAATGCGATACTCCTGTAATTACCTATCACTGTGGATGATAGATTTTCTGATTTAACACCAATAAATTTTCCATTCTGGATAACTCAGTCAATGGTAGTGAATTTATCTCTTCTGGTCATGCAGCACGAAGAAGAATTCTCAGGAATGTAAAATGATGAGTCCATTAATACTTTGAAGGAACAATGGCATGCCTCTGCGATGAGGCAGAAACGAAATACCGAAGTGTAACTTGATTTTCAGGAAAATTACTATTGCTTTTCTTGTCGCCATACTTGGTTAAATATAGCATTAAACGACTTGTTACGGAAAATAATATGTAATAATAAGATATAATAATCACTATTTCCAAATTATGTATTTCCTTGTTTGCATTAAAAGTTGTTAGTTCGCCATGGCTGTTCTGGGTATTACCATGTCTCACTCCTTTCAGTGGCGAAGAGGAAATTGTAACACATCCAGTGATAGTGCACAATGTCATATTTCACGAGATTTTATAGTCAAACGACATGATAAAGGTATACTATTACGGCACGACGCGATAATAGTAGGTTGACCAGACAGGTGGTGCATTAATATCTTGATTGTAGTGTTGTGCATAATAGGTGTCTTGAAATTATTCAAAATTTAATTCTTTTCTTTACGATACAAAGTTACGCTGTTTGTGGTTATCTTTGGCGTAACCAATCAATCAAGTATTTTGTTTACATATAGTCTTTTGCACAGGAATTAGCGTGGCAGCTCAATTGGCTATCGCGTAAGGGTGACACCTCTACTCACACGCATTTTCGGTATTGGCTATTGTTAGTCGAGATAAACTGGGAGTAATAGTACCCATTGGCGTAGATATATCTAAGAAAAATTAAAAGAGTTCGAGACGGATAAAATGCACTTTGTTCTTAGCCGACAATGTAGTGTAGACTACGACTGTGCAGTGTGACTGCTCGAAAGAAAGGGGAACTCTGGGGAGACAAAAGCTGACCAGAATGGCATAATCCCCTTACTTTCCTACCCTTCAGTTCGTTGGTATCCCGCCAACGCCTGAGCGAAAGTCTGTACGTTCTTCATTTCCGGACACTGAATTAGGGTACTCCATAACTGTGCAAGCGCTGATTGCTGAACAACCATATTGAAATTTCGTAAGCTACTCAAAAATTGCCTAATCCTTTGATTGTACTATTATCAAATCAGACTATGTTATTATACATTCAACATGTTTTCTTTAATTTAATTTCTTTCCATACCCTCTTTAACGCCAACAGAAATAAATAACTCGGTATTATTCAAGAAAATTAAAGTTACTTTGCTATTCGAAAGAATCTACAATCTTCTATAAACTTTAATAATAAAAATTTATTAAATATTCCTTGATTAATTTTCTGCACACTTTCTCGTGCCTAATTATAATTAGTATTCGAAGAATCGTGAAACCCATTACAATGAACATTCTCGACACCTGTAATTTTTGTTAACTATTTCAAAAGTGACAAGGGCGGCACTTGCCATCAGACTCGAAAAGCTGGTTCAAATCGGTACCAGTGGAATACCTGTTGATATAAAGATGTCAAAGTTACATCACAGCGAATGAAAAATGCGCAAAACTCCTACAAAAGTCCAGATAAAATGCTAATGATAGGTAGTACTCCTTTCTTTTTTCTACGTGAGAACGTATAACATTTGCAATTGCGGACAAGATAATTGCTTTTTACATAGACGATCCTTTGTTTTATAGGCCTGCATTTATATAACACCATTTACACATCGTTCATTTGCGATAAGAGTGATACGACTCGAAGGTAATAAATTTGACAGGAGATACTTTTAAATTTTGCTGCCGACTGAAACGCAAATAATGTCAATGCAATTTGCAATCGTTCCTGATAAAAAAAGTCAGTACGGTAGGAGTCCAATGCCATCAAAAATGCTATATTTTTTTACATTTTCAGTCGTGTTAATTTTAAATAAATTCTCCAATGGACCTCATCTTTTTTTCAGAATATTTGGATGAATGGTGTACAACCATTGAAAAAAAAAATGGAGTTTCCGCGAGTAACGTTAATTACAAGTTTATAAATAAACTTCAGGTTTATCGCATTGGTAGGTTCCTGTAATCGTGCCGAATAAAGTTCAAATATAACGAGGAAAACCAACAGACTTGGTTAATGTAATCAAGAAAACATTTACTATGAAAATTGCCTAATTATATGTCCAGAGACATGAACATTTATAGACCAAAGACATCAATAGAATATCACGACGTTGAAGTAATAGTGGTGATAATGACAAACAATAAACATACATTTTTGAATTAATGTAACGGTTAAGAAATTAACGAAATGAGGGAACTGAAGTGAAGTGTATTGTATTCGGTCATTGTTATACTTATAGGTAATTTGAAAGTTAAAGAAAAGTAAGAAGAGCGATTTACAGCTGGAAATTTGAGTTATTACGAACCTATAGATTATATGATAGTTCTTTAAATTATATATTATCAGTCAACGGTGATTAACGCTACCTCAATAACAAGTATGTTGTCAGTCACTGGTAATACCATATTGTTAATTGTGAAAGTGGTGTACCTAAGTCCTTTTGTGGTCATCGAAAATATATTTCTTAGTAGATAATATCTATATGTATACTACAAACACCTGATAAACTTACCCATTTGCAGTCACTGAAAGCATACGACTTTATTTTCACATAGCAATAAATTTTATATCACAAGATAAGGATAAATTAACTTATACTATTACCACGATGCAGATCTCGTATATATGTACATTTTTCTTTAGTAATATTTAAAGAGTGATGTTCAAATATTGATGTACTGATATTAGAATACTCGTGATATTATAACGATACTAAAATATCTCGTATTCGACGTTTATTCGCGATACATGAATACTACAACTCAAGTAACAATATCGGAA